CCTAACTAACTAAAAAGCAAAAAACTAATTACCAAAATTAAGAATCTGAGAGGTGACATCATCAGAAAGTCTATAGATACTTTGATAGTTTTTGTGTCAACTTGGCTAGGACATGATTCTCAGTGGTTTGGCAGTTAGGACGTAGTTATCTTTCCCATGGTGAGACCTAACATGATGTAATCATCTCCATGATGTGATCTGATGTGACCAGCTCTGATGTGATGTCATTATCCCATGTGTTGTAAAAATTCTCATTTCTATGATGTTAATGAGGTCAATTCAATCCACAGAATTAGCTTGTATCTTGGGCCTATATCTTTTGAAATAAAAAAGTAAGCAGAGAGAAACCTACTACCAAGAAAGAAGAGCCAGGAGTGGAGTTCATCCTTTGGGTCTGCAGTCCCTGCCCTGTGAAGCTCCTAGATATCGGGAAAAATTGATGCCAAGACATGGAGATCTTCAAGGAATGTTGGACCTACAGATACTGAAAGGAGAGGAAGACATTTCTCCAGAACTGGCATTTTGGATTTGGACTTCTAGACTCCTAAACTGTAAGACAATAAGTTTCTGTTGATTAAAACCATCCACCAACTATTAAAAGTATAATGACAGATCTTATGAACAACTGCCAATAAATTTGACAACTTAGATGAAATAACATTACAAAGTATTGGAATTTTACTGCATACCAAGGGACCTCTGCTTTCATACATTGGAAATGCTGCCACAGGGTCACCCTTCCCTTATCTGTAATAACCTGCACTAAAACTCTCAAAGTGAACTTTGGGCACCAGATAGAATTCTAGTGAGTCACTTCTAGAAGCATGTCATTCCTCATTCCCTCTTTGACCTGGGTTTCTCCAGCCTGGGAACTCAGAGAAACCCAGAGTCCCCTGGCAACTGGGATCATCCCAGGTGTCCCATCCCAGGACAGTTAGGATGAGGATGGATTTCTGGTGTAATTAATCCAGCATCCACTAAGACATACTATACAGAAAACCACATTTGGGAGTCCTGGTGTGTGGCATTGTAGGATAAGCACTCATCCACAAGGTTGGTTTGAACTGCAAACTCGGTGGTTCAAACTCACCAGTCACTCCTTGGAGTCGCTGTGAGTCAGATTTGCAGGTATATATGTATATGTATATAGCCTTTCTCCCCCAACTCTATATTCTGGAGCCAAATACAGCTTGAAGATCTCATTTGAAAGTTCAGGTTGAAGCTGAAGAAAATTAAAACAAGTCTACAAGAGTCAAAATATGACCTTGAACATATCCCACCTGAATTTAGAGATCATCTGATAAACAGATTTGATGCATTAGATACTGAAAACTGATGACCTGAAGAGTTGTGGGATGACATCAAGAACATCATACAGGAAGAAAGCAAAAGGTCATTAAGAAGACAAGAAAGAAGGAAAAGACCAAGATGAATGTCAGAAGAGACTCTGAAACTTGCTCTCCAGTGTAGAGATGCTAAAGCAAATGGAAAAAGTGAAGTACATGAGCTGAGTAGAAAATTTCAAAGATTTCAATTTGTATTCCATCAAATATTATAACAAAATGTGCAAAGACCTGGAGTTAGAAAACCAAAAGGGAAGAACACACTCAGCATTTCTCAAGCTGAGGGGATGGAAGAAAAAAATTCAAGCCTCGTCTTGTGGTATTGAAAGATTCTGTGGGCAAAATATTGAATGATCTATAAAGCACCAAAGAAGATGGAAGGAAAGCATAGAGTCACTGTACCAAAAAGAAATGGTCGATGTGCAACCATTTCAAGAGGTAGCATATAACCAAGAGCCAATGGTATTGAAGGAAGAAGTCCAAGGTGCATTGAAGTCATTGGGAAAGAAAAAGTCTCTGGGAATAGATGAAATACAAATTGAAATCTTTTAACAAACTGATGTGGCACTGGAGTCACTCACTCATCTAGGTCGAGAAATTTGGAAGACAACTACCTGGCCAACTGACTGAAAGAGAACCATATTTTTGCCGATTTCAAAGAAAGGTAACCCAACGGAATATTGAAACCATCAGATGAGATCATTGATATTCCATGCAAGTAAAGTTCTACTAAAGATAATACAAAAACGGCTAAAATCATACATTGACAGAGAACTTCCAGAGATTCAAGCCAGATTCAGAAGAGGACATGAAATGAGGGATATCATTGCTGACATCAGATTGATCTTGGCTGGAAGCAGAGACTACCAGAAAGCTGTTTACCTGTGCTTTATTGACTATGTAAAGGCTTTCAATTGTGTGGATCATGACAAGCTA